AGATTGGGAATTGGCTTTAGTTGAGTCAGCAAGCAATTTGTCAAGACAGAGGGCGACTATGGCTGGTGGGCTTGATCCTCTGTTGTTGAACGGCTTGTATGATCAAGGAATGGTGAGGCAGCACGTTAGTACTGCCCAGTTGAATGTCGGAAGTGCAAGCAGTGTGTCATTGCCTGGGCCAGGGAAGACTACAACGCCAGTCCTGGCTCTTCCAGCTCCTGATAGGACAGTTCAGGCAGTTAACCAGGATCCTTTTGCTGCATCATTGAGCATTCCACCTCCATCCTATGTGCAAATATCCGACATGGAGAGGAAACAGCATTTGCTTGTACAGGAGCAGCAGGTGTGGCAGCAATATGCAAGTAATGGGATGCAAGGTCAAACTAGTTTGGCCAAGCTTAGTCCCCCTGTATCCTACATCCCAGGTTCTACACCTTTTGGAATGCCACCGTTCAATGATGGGATGGGCCCTCCGGCCGGTTATTATTATACTCCTTTATGATTTCATTTTTTTGTTTTTTTTTGCTCCTTTAAAAGTATAAACAGGTTACAGTATTTCTTTGTTTATCTTAGTGTTGTATTTGCAGCGTTCTCTTTCTTGTAACAATTTGATGGCATTCCTTGCAATTTGTGCGCAAAAAATGAGGAAAGAGACATGGGTGAGAGCCTATTCTGTAGGAATTTTTTATGATGAGAGATCCTTATAATCTGATTGTGATTGTTTTTTTTTTTTTTTTTTTTTTTTGGTGCTTGATAATAATAGAATTCGGTTGAATTATACTGTGATTTATGTTTTTGCACATTACATGCATGACTGTAGATGGTAGAAATATAATTCGTTGCCTCTGATGTAGTTATATTATTGGAAAGTTTTGCCCTGTCATTCCACTCAAACCATTGTAGATGTTGAAACATATTTATCATTTTAAAATACTAACCATTTGATATGAGAAAATTTATTGATATTATATTAAACAATTCACACTTTACAATTTAAAATAATTTTAAATAATTTATATTTTACAATTTATTTAATTTAGACCGTAAAGTAATATAAATCATCACCTAAAATCACTTAAGTCTTCTTTGATAAGTAGGTGAAGACGCTGAAAATGTAGTTTGCTCTTGGGATTCTTAATTATTGCATGTTCTCTTTCTCGCCCTCCACGACATTCATGAATCACTGTGAGTCTGTGATAAATTAGCATTTATTTATACCAAAATGTACTTGATCCGAACGGCAAGTTTCAATCCTTTCTTTGTTGTCTTTTAACGATTGGTTTTTTTTTTTATTTTTTTACATGAAATATAAGTACAATTTTTTATTTTAATTTTTATTAAAAAATATAAAAAATAACTTTTATTTAATTAAAAGTATAATTAAAATGATTCAAGTAATATGATTAATAAAGCCTTTCAAAAAACAATATGATTAATAAAATTAATATTAAAAATATATTAATTACACACTTAAAACATATATATTTAGAAAAATCCTTAGCAATTACTTCCTGTGGAGACTTTGTCAAAAAAAATTTTGAGTTTCATTTATTCCAATTTAGCATTGACGTTATGTTTAAGAATTGGATGACTAGTTAAATAATTTTTTATGGACATTAAGAATGTTTCATTTTAAATTAAAAAATACATATATATATAATTATTGGTACACCTTACAAAATTACACATTTAGTTATACATTAACAACTTTCATTATTTATATAATTAAAGATGACGGTTTTCATTATTTATGCAATTAAAACTGACGATTTTTGTTATTTGTATCGTTAAAACTAATAATTTTTATTATTTATATCATTAAAATTAACGATTTCTATTGCATACTAATTGCTTTCATCAGTATATAACAAAATGTGTAATTATGTAGCTATTGCATACGTATCATTGTCCATATATATTGTGAGTTGCATATAAAAATAAATCAATTTTTTTATTTCATTAACTATCTCACCCTTATATTTATAATTTAAATTCAAAATCTCGTATTGCACTTAAAAGAAAAATTATGACTTTACAACCTAAATCTTTGGTTTAATAAAATCTATTTTTTTTTAATTTTCTTTGTATTTCTTTCATCCTTCATATTCCCGTTCTTAAAATGGAAAATGATGACTAGACTGCATACGAGGGAGAAGCCAAGTCGATAAACTAAAGGATGGATCATATTTATATAAATAGAAGTCTCCAAAATATTGTCGTCTACGTATCGGACGACATGTAAAATTTAATTTTACTTAATGCAACTTTCCCTCACGTCTCCAAAATGAACAAGAATTTGATGGAAAATGATGACTTGGCTACCAACAAGGGAGAAGCCAAGTCGATAAACCAAAGGACGGATCATATAAATACAAGTCTCCAAAATATTGTTGTGTATCGGACAGCATGCAAAAGTTAATTTTGCTTAATGCAACTTTCCCTCTTTACACAAAAACAAAAATAAAATCTCTAAAATAAACAAGAATTTGATGGAAAATGACATATAAGTCTCCAATTATATGATATTAGAAGTTTTGTTTTTCCCGATTAAAAGATGTAAATCCCAAGGAAAGGGACTTTGTTCTTCCTCTTTCTCGCTCGAAGGAACCAAATCCATAGATTCCCCTGAAGCTCCTGACCCACGCCTTGTCTTTTCCCATTGCCGTCCACAAAATTTAGAATGTTCCCATCACCAACATTCCTGTCATTTTTGTTTTCTCTTTAATAAAATTTATACGTATAATTCTTTTCCATTTCCTCGTCTACGAGCATAAAATATTAGTGGTTACTATCATCAATGGATTAACCCAATAAATAAATCTGATCTGTAAGTTAAGTGATTTTAATCATTCTTGTAATGTTTATATCTCTTTTTTAAAAGACAATGGTTTGAACCGACCCCATAAATAAAATGTTCAAAAAAAAAAAAAGGATTAACCCAATAAATAAGTGCCATAGATTAACCTAATTAATAGTTTGTATAGGTTAAATTTAAGGGTTAAGGTTTTAAATTAATATTTTAAAATTTTAATTTATTTAAATATACTAAATTAATTGTGGAAAACAAATAGTTGAAAACAAATTAAACCCAAAAGGAAGAGTTTCAAACAGAGAGAATATTCATAGATTATCTAATCTGCTGCGTCTCTGTAGGGCCGGTAACGCACCCCATCTTAAATTAGTTGATTTGCTCACGATCCACTAATAATTTACCTAATCCAACTTCTGCCTATCAATTATGGAAGAAGGCTCTATTCAAAAAGAAAGAAAAAAAAGCAATCATGGAAGTAGGTGAGAAAAGTTTGGTGAAATAGGTATTAATAAAAAAACTTAGTTTAAAGTTAAAATTAGAAATTCAAATATCTGTAATATTAAATAACTAACTCTAATATTAAATAACTAACTCTAATATACAAATGAAAATCAAGTATTTAAATACTAATCACACTATCTTCATTTTTTCTTTTCTTTTTTTTTTTCCCTTATTTTGTTCTTATGTTATTCAGAAAGGTGATCTAATAATATAAGAATGAAAAATGAATTTGGGCCAACTGTGGCCCAAAAATGACGTCCATGGAGAAATTAAAAGACCAAAACAGCCATTGGCCCAGTGGCCCAGTTCATAATTAGTTGAACTTCAAGCCCACAATGATCTGCGAATGGCAAAAAAGTCAAAGGGGATAGCTCTCTTCCGGAGTTCCGACAAGATAAATTCAATTGCCAAAGTCTGACATCTGAATTTTGTTTCGGACATCAGTCAAAATATCAAGCGACATTGCTGACCTGTCTGAAACTGAGCGCGCCGTCACCCGAGGCATCTTTATTTATTGAATTATGATAAATGAGATCATCCAATTGAATGGTTTGAACGGTTTGAAATTTGAAATTTTAGCTTGAAAATGTCGAATTTGAACTTTGGGTAAGGATTAGGAAAACAAGGGAGGATTATTTTTCTTTTTTATATAATTTATAATTAAATATACAAAAAAAGATAAATGAGACTAGATTTGGATCAAAATTTTAAATTA